CAGAACACGGTGTGAACACACTTAATATTTCTCATATCCAATAAACGGATAATATACTTAAGCCTCAGTGGCAAATACGATTCGTAGTCATTACATGCTACTACAAATGGCAACACTAAATACAGTAGTCACTTTGAACCGTAGATTTTTCAATTTCTCCGTACACGTTCAACAGAAAAGATGCATTGCTATTATCCATGTTATACTCACAGCTCGACAAGGTTGGACAAAGACGACACATCATCTTTTTCAATTTCATCGATATCATTATTCTCCAGATTTCTGAAAATTAAATATTAATATCGGTAAAGATGTATGCATGCATTTTCGAGAAATGTAGATCGTTTCTCGATACATCAATTGCACGATCTTTTTAAATTGAGAGGGTCATGGTAACTCACAGCACAGTAGTTTCAATTGGTACTTCGCGTGGGAACTTGTCCAAACCTGAACACACTACAATCGTATTGTTACAAGTACAGTAATCGTCGCAAGCAGATACAGTTGACACGTCCCATGTTGTTAACAATAAGACAGCTACAAGAACACTGCATGATGCCAACGATGACAGACTCATTTCTACCAATTTCGGAGCTCGATGACTGAAAAAGAATGCATTAACAATTATATTGAATCAACGAACAACTTCTTTAGCACAATGATTAGTCCACGAACGTTACTTGCTTGTCAATAAAATTATAAAAGTTGTTTCTTAGTGTAGAATTAATTCAAAAGTCACTAAATCTGGTCGGTTTACCAGATACGTGTAAGGTGCGAATGAACTATTTAAACAAACAAACGAAGGGTACATACATGTGAGAATGATTCGGTCTGGATCGCCGTCAGCTTCTAATGATGTCTGCGGGACTTTTTCTGCTTTATATAGGTATTGGCTTTGGTAGATCTGTTTAACGTCGTCATGACAGCCACATATTCCATTCAAACACATGAATGCGTGTTTAGTATGGGTGCGGTTTATATGTTTTATAAATGAAAACATTGAACATTTTCAATTGAAATAATGAGGTATTTGCCAATATCTATTATACATGAAGTTCAATTTAAGTTGAATCTAAGGTCGTAGAGTCCAATGTTTACATGCAACACGAACTAATACGGGAAAAGTTCACAATAGTAAATTATAAGAACGAATCGTATATAATATTATTATACATCTGTCACCGTAACGCCATAAGTTACAGAGTGCCGTAATTTTGTGATATTTTACGGGGTATTTTCATCCTACCATATAAGGAAATATGAATTCCAAATATGGAATGATTACGCGCGTAAGCGTCCTCTAATAATAAACACAAACATGGCTGCCATTAGGATTTGACCGGACTCCATATATCCTTAGAAGGAAAATATGTATAATAATAAATTTACTTCGAGAATACCTCAAAATATACTTTGAGGTATACTCGTAATAACCTCATGTTATTAAAAAATACAGATGGGATATGTTTATTAAATTAACACTTGTGCAATCTTGGAATATGTTCGAATAATTAGATATATGTATCGTGAAGCTAATATATTAATAATATTGCCTCCAGACAATGATGCTATTGACAGTCGCATCCGAAGATAAAACTGCGGCGTTGTTCGTCGCTCTTGATATTAAATATACATGTATGTATTCCTGTTAATAAGACAACCTACGGGTAAACTTGTCACAACAGATTGTGAGACAATTGTGACTAGTGAGCGAAATTTGTTATAAGACAATCGTAAGCTGGTCGTCACAAATGACATCACACGAGACACCCTATACTTACTGAAAAAAAAACATTTTCATTTTTACAATGCTTCATACCGTATTGATTGTAACAAAACATTGGGGGGGGGGGGTATTTTTATACTACGGCATACACCATTAGTCAGATATAATCTATATAGATATGTACATATACCTGTCATGTATCATGTAAAATAGTAGTATTTAAATTGAACAAACTAATCTTGATTTCTAACTAAAACAAAAATATCTTATCTGTGACTGTGTTAATGTATAACGATGCAAATCATCTCGCTCAATCTTTATGATTAGTACGCACATGGTTTATTTGTGATAAATTCATTTCATGGACAGAAAATGTGACCCTTCATTTTACGGATTAGTGTAATGCTTCAATGGTCCCACGGTAATAATAGGTAAACAAAATATTAGATGTAATAAAGAAATGTATGGGTGTGGTCCCAACAATATTATGAACTTACTTGAACTTTGTATTAGACGTCATTTATTTTATACTTGATAGATGTTGTCATACATAACGTCTGTATTTAATTATTACTGTTCCCTAAGGTAGCAACAGAAAGAGCCGAATTATAATTCATATAGAAGCTTTGGTATACGAACAATATGCTATTGTATATGCCGTATCAATGATTTTTAAGAGATTACCAAATTGCAAATTCTGCTAATATCGTTTTTTTTTCTTTTCCGTCGAAGGAAACTGTTTTAACACTTTCGTTCCCGCGAATGTATTGTGGATTTCATGAGCCGTAGTTATACAGACGGGATGATTGTGTCTTGTATTATTTTGTATCTGCCCTTGGTTTGTGTGACATCCAAATAACTGCAGTCATGCTACATGAAATGTTTGAAGGGTTGTAATTAGGGAACTAAATCATAAGTACAAACTATATATCGACACTGTCCGTGAGTTGGGACCACCTTTAGATTACTTTAACTTACGAAAAAGGTTGTTAGACAATGTATTAGGCAAACGACATATGCACTACCATATACCATACTATGTAGATTGTTATCTGTTGCTACCTTAACATCCAAACGAAAATCAAATCTATTATCCTTCTTAGAAACCAAATAATGAAAATTCACTGTTTACAATTTTGACCAGCAGTGTGGT